TCTCACTCCTGAAGGTAACTCCGGATGCAACGGTGCACTTCCTGCATGCGTACGGCTTCAGGCCGGCTTCCTATGCTGCTTCCCTGTGTGCCACTTTGGTCCCTACAGAAATAATTGCCCATTGGTATGGCAAAGTTTCCCACAGCGGGGGGAAACAAGGCAGCTCTGCCAAAGAATCGTTGGCAGAGGATTGCAAAGTACCTACATGAAAGCTTCCTAGAGATCTCTATGCAGGATTTCCAGGACATTAACAAACTTTTCTGCCGGGCCCCCACTGCTTAGCTGCTCAGGCTCTGTTGGTAATTTCTATCTCTTATCCCTCCTCTACCATATAACAAAGTAAATGAGACCTCAATCTCACATCTCTGTGCAGTATCAAAGCAAAATGTGTGCTTACCAGAGCATGCATCTCCTGCTTCATGAGCACCAGAGCCATAGTGCTGGAACTGGCTAAACCCCTCTGGAGTCAAAAATAGGTCCTGACTTGCCATGCCACCAGATGACTTTGTCACATGTCCCACATCCTCCTCCAACTCCACTTCCTCATCTATCACTTTGTCCTCGGGCTTGACTCTGCTGGCTGCTGCCTCCAGTCCCCCAAAGTATCCATGGAACTCTTGTCAGTGGAGGTGGGGTTGCTGCTGAGGATGGCATCCAGCTCCTGGTAGAAGTGGCGTGTCTTCAGTGCTACACCAGAGCGACTGTTTGCCTCCCTTGCCTTCTCGTATGCCTGCCTTAACTCCTTGGTCTTAGCATTGCACTGCTGCTTGTCCCTTTTTGTCCCTTCTGCATGCCATGAGCAATCTGTCTGTAGATATCAAAGTTCCTACAACTTGAGCGAAGCTGTGACTGCACAGCCTCCTCTCCCAACAGATCCAACGGCTCTGGTGTACCCCAGGCGGGAGCACCTCTGTTGCGGAAACCCAGCATGGTCAGCTGGGAAGATGCTGTGTGAACAGTCCATGCTGAGCAAAGAGGAAGAGGAATTTCAAAAATTCCCAGGCTTTCTAACAGGGGAAGGATGCATGCTTGTGTTCCTGCAGGGCAGCAGAGTTAAAACTGTTGACCAGAGCGGTCATGATGGGCATTGTGGGACACCTCTTGGAGGCCAATTAGGAAACATAAGCAGGTTCAGTGTCTACACTGACATTGAGTCGCTCTAACTAAGTCGCAAAAAGCTCTGTGCCTCTCGTCGAGGTGATTTTATTTGTCAGAGTAGGGGAGTTACATTGGTGGGAAGAACATTTCAGTGTGTATACCTCCACTGTTTTGCTGACAGAAGCTAACTTTTGTCAACAAAACTGTGTAGTGTACACAAGGTCTAATTTGGCGTAGTGGGGCAGTTACATCTGTGGGAGTGAAATTTATGTACACTCTTCCACAGCTAGGTTGATGTAACCTGTCTTGCGTCAACCTGCGTAGCGTAGACCAGGCCTGAGAAGCCCTCCTAAAAGCTTGATGTTAGGCAAGTATGCATCTAAGCTATGTACAGTTCTCCACCCACTTTGGTGGTGGGTGCCATACAGTTGCAAGTAACTGCCTATGTATGTGCAAAAGATAAGGTGGGTGAGGTAATATCTTTTATTGGAGCAGCTTATGTTGCTGAGAGGCGAGCTTATCTCTGATAATACAGCTACAACAACAGTACATATAATCATACATTTATCCAAACTTGTTTGCTGTTACTTATTTCCCTATCTTGGACATTTGAGGTTGTACTGATCACAGTAAGCTCAGTTTGGAAGTGAAAACAGCAGTACATCGGCGTGTGTCATGTTTGCAATCCTCTTCAATATTGCCATCGACTGGGTAATGCAGGGTACAACAGTAGACATGCCAAGAGGCATTAAATGGACGCTCTTCTCATCCCTTGAAGACCTGGACTTCGCAGATGATGTCGCTCTCCTATCACATACCCAACACCATATACAAGAAGAAACAACTCAACGCATTCAGCCAGCAAATTGGACTGAAAATCAACCACAATAGGAAGATACCATGACCTTTAATATTGCCTCACCATCACCAGTACGGATAGGGTATTATGTTCTCACTAAAATAGAAACATTCACATACTTGGGTAGCGCCATCAGCCAGGACGGTGGAACAAGCCAGGACATTCGGAACAAAATCAATAAAGCCAGGAACACCTTCAGGAGCTTAAATACAGATTGAAAATCATCAAAATGCAACAATAAAACCAAACTCAAGATTTATCAGAGCTGAGTACTTTCAACATTACTTTATAGTACAGAATGCTGGGGAATGAGAAAGAATGACATGTCCAAACTGTCTTTATTCCATTCAACCTGCCTCAGAAAAATCCTCCATATCTTTTGGCTCAGAACAATCTCAAACCAAGATCTACTGACACAGTGCAACCAAGAGGATCTGAGCACCATCATTGCCAGGAGGCGTTGGAGATGGATCGGTCATGTGCTTCAGATAGAAACTGATTCTAACCACAAAGTAGCAATAGGATGGACACCTGAAGGCAAATGAAAACAACATGGCAAAGAGCTTGTGGAAGCCGAGCTGAAAAACCCGGGCCACAGCTGGGGAACCATTGAAAGACTTGTCAGAAACAGACAGGAGTGGAGGAGCTTCGTCACCGTCTTAAACACCAGAGGCGTAATAGGAACATGATGGTGATGAACACAGTATTATGACTGTGCCCTTACAAAAGGTATACAGAGAGGGACTGTGATTTCCCATCTAGCATCTTTGTAATACCAGCTTTTTTAAACACTGTAATCATTTCAGTTTCATATTAGAGTTGTTCTCCACTATCGCCCATCATTCTCTTTTCACAGTAGGTTACATCGACACAAAAGAATTAATCGATGATGGCAAAAGTTAACAAAAGGTCCTCTCTGGCTTCTTCATACCAGCAATTGAAGACAGTGGCTTCCCTGAGGCATGTGTAGACTGGGAATAACCACACCTGCTGCATAACATGTTTTAGACAACTTATTCCAGAATGTGTCTATAACACTTCCTATAACAAATGTTGAAAACAGTTTGTCCCATCTACACCTGTGGGCAAACAGTTTTCGATCTCTGTTGAGAAAGTGACATAAAGATCCCATTTTTGACAATGGTTTATTCTTCTAAGCTATAATCTTACAATGAGCTCTGCATGGGCAGATCCACGTACCTGTGCAGAAGTCATTGTAGGCTCAGTGTTTCCCTTTCATTGAATATCTGTGTTCCTGATTATTTTTTTCCAGATGCATTTTCTTGTATTGTTGTTTTTTGTCTATATTTCTAACATTGCTCTCCTAAATACCTATTATTTCTTTGTCCTCACTCATAATGAAGTTGAATGTGCTCAGCATCTTTAGGTTTGAGTCACTAGTGAATAAATATACTGTGGATCACTATGATGTTCCCCTCTGGAGTTATCTGGACTGGTGATCTTACCATGCTCTGCTGTGAGAACCTCCACTCCTGGGCTGTTCATGCACAGCCTCGGGCATGTAAGCTGCTCCCAGCAACTTGCAAGTGAATGACACTAGCCAATATCTCCGGTCCCAGACACAACCCTAGGAACCTCCGTCTTGGAGTGTCCAGTTATGCCTGCTGGACTCTGCAAGCTTATATGAGTTTGTCAATTTAACGAAGAAATTGATATGCACTAGGCTTGTTATCCCAAGGGGAGCCTCTGACACACTTCAAACCAAACGCACTGCTTCAGGTAGAATAAACAAACATTTATTAACTATAAAGATAGATTTTAAGTGATTATAAGTCAAAGCAAAACAAGTCATATTTGGTCAAATGAAAAAGCAAAACGCATTCTAAGATGATCTTAACACTTTCAGCGTCCTTACAAACTTAGATGCTTCTCACCACAGACTGGCTGGTTGCCCTTCAGCCAGGCTCTCCCCTTTGATCAGCGCTTCAGTCGCTTGGTGTGGTGTCTGTAGGTGTAGGTGGAAGAGAGAGGAAGAGCGTGGCAAACATCTCTTCCTTTTATCATGTCCTTTCCTCTCTCTTTGCCCCTCTCCCCACTTCAGAGTCAGGTGAGCGTTATTGAGTCTCTCCAAGCAAAGTTGAGCAGTTCCCCTAGTGTGGCCTCATGCATGTGAGTCATTCCATTGTGGTTCCCTTGTTGGACAATGGCTGTTGATGGGTTCTTTGACACCCCGCCCGGGCGTTGGTAACTTTCCTTGCTGTTGCCTCTGGGGAGCTAATATCTGGCTGATGCCCCCAACTTACATCATGTTTTAGTGAAAACAATACTACACAATTGTCATAACTTCATATGCATTAATGTTACACATATATGGATAGATAAATGAGTTTTGCAGATCATAACCTTTCTCCTGATACCTTGCAAGGCATGCTTTATACCAAGATCACGATTATATGAAAATGAGGAATATGGAGATTACAGCACGCTCCCCCCGGTATAGAATGTCACAATCAGATCTTAGGCCCCAATCCTGCTGAGCTCTGTGCAGGCAGGCAGATCCCTGTGCTTATCAGAGATCCTATTGAAGTCAACAGATCTCCACGTGGGCTTGGGTCGACTGGCATGTAACTTGTTGCAGGATCAAGGGCCTAAGTAATGTGTTGAAAGTTTTGATGATGCAGTCTTGCATATGGTAATATTTATACGATGATCTTACAGTTTAGTCTAGGAAACAAAATCTAAAAGTACCCTGGAAAACACATCTCAAATAACTATACAAGACAATAACGTAATTTATAAGATTAATTTTTTTTAGAAGGAAATAATTATTTAGATAAATTGTGTACATAGAAGAAATAAATTAACTCAGCAACAAAAAGCCATTTACTTCCAAAACACTTGAATAGCTGGACACTAACGCATGTTGAATTGAGCTTACAGTTTATATGATAGCAATGACTAACTATATATATGAATAGAGGCTGATTTGAAAAGGGGAATTAGTACAATGCTGAGAAACTAAAATTAACAAATAATGATTCTTATATTGAGTGACTAATAATGTGTGTTGTTTTTGTCACAGGAATAAGAAAATTGTTGATTATTCACAGTTTGGGGATTTTGAAAATGATGGTAAGTGGTCCTACTATTATCCACACCAAAAAGAGTTAAGTTCTGCAATGGCTTTGTATAAAATGTTGGTAGAATATGGGCCCTATCCTTCTGTTGAATTCAGTGAAAAACCTCTTATTGGCTTTAGTGGAATCAAATTCAGGCCCTGTTAGAATACAGTACATGTTATAAGGATATTCCCAATAGCAGTGATATTTACACTGCTGACCTGTTCATAATATTGGGTTAGGTCAGCCCCCTCCTGCAGGAAAAACAAATTGTAGGAGGAGACTTGGGACAGGAGAGCTTTGCTAGGTTCTTCTCGCAGAGATTTCTCTGACATTTTTCCAGAGGGATGTTCCTTCCATGGAACAGGCCACAGGGCTTTCTGTAAATGACAGTGATCTACAGGAATCTAGGGCCATCTGTGCAGAGGTCTCATGCCTCTCTGCTGAAGCTCTATGTCTGTGTTGGTCCGGCTTCAATACAAAGCAGTCCACCTCCTTCTGTGAAATAGAAGATACAGCTCTAGGGTTTTTAAATGTTCCTTAGGAATCTCTGGAGGTCTGGGAGGGGAACAGTGTGGTGTGCCATGCATCCTCCTTACCTAGTTCACCCATTTTCCACTCTTTTCCTCTGCACTGATCACTGGCCCCATTGAGGAGTTTCCTTGGGCTCTGGAGGCAGCAAGAGGGGATGGTGTCACAAAGACAACTAAACTTTCCCTTTTTCCTGAGGTAGAGGAAACTGTGTGCAGGGGGTCCGCCCTCCACAGTGGGCAGAAAAATCCTTTTCATTATCCTATTTTCAGGTGTTTACGTTTGGTATAGAAATTTTCTTTAGCTGATACTTGATATATAGGTTCTGAAACTGAGGGAGACATTCTTTTACATTTAAAAAAAAGTCTTGTTAATTAATTTTTCTTATTCCAGCAGATGCATCTTAAGTGGTCGTTTTCTCTGAATGTTTAATGTTCTTGCAGGAAGGGTTTCTGCATCATTTTGAGAGCACTGAGAACTGTTCCCATTTCCCTTGTTTTTCACTTTGACCCTCAACGCCTTATATTACATCTACCATTCCTCTGGCTGATAGATTAGTTTTAAAGATTGATCTACTGCATAAGCATGCCAACCTTTAGCAGAAAGCATTTAGCTCTGTCGTTGAATGTGAGTGAACATTTCCCATTGGCTGCAGTAGGAGTTTCATGCTTGTATTCAAGGACAGAATTTGATCTGTTATCTTTTGATGTGTCCTTGCTGCATAGAGATTAAAGGTTTTCTTTGTTACAGTGGAACACCTCTGAGGGTGTATGGTTTGTGCAGTATAACAATGTGAGTCCAGGGAAACATTGATAGACAACATATTTTATAAAGCAGACAGGAAGACATTTTTTTTTTGTCTACTAGCTGAGTAAATCTCATTATACAGCATTCACCTCCATCCCATTCAAACTTGATATTATCACTTATTTTTATGGCAGTTTTTTTGCATCGTAGTTATATGTGCTAAAGACAAAATTTTAAAGTTCTTGGATTGCTTTTAGTCTGATATCCCTGATTTTCAGTCTTTGTTTCCAGTTTGGGCCTTGGAGGACTAAAGACATATACTTTGTAAAGAGGCAATGTAATGAAAGGGGAGAGATCTTTTTTAAGAATGGGAATCATTAAAAGGAAAAGGTTCCAAAAGACCAAGAACTGTAAGAATGGTGTGTATTGAATGGTATTCAGTTATCAGAAGAACTTGAATCACAAGTGAATGAGAACTCTGAGAACATATTTGAGATTGAAACTTTATCCCCATGTTGATAATTAATTAACTTGAATATCTACATCTTGAAAATTATGTTAGAAATAGTAGGATCAGGTCTCACTAGGATTACGATCTACGTTTAGCTAGTACCTTTTGTTCCAGAGTATCCCAGAGCTCATTACAGTTACATCTATTTGTCTTCTGATTATGAGACTGAAAATTGGTTTCAGATGAGGGCCATAAGAACATGAACATTTAGAATATTTTATATTTGTGATTAAATAAGTTTTCCGAGGAGAGAGACCTTTTTCATGGTGGTTGGAGAAACTTGCACTGTTTGGGCAAAACTATTTCTAACTTGCACATGTTTTTATAAACAGATGAAGACTTTGCCTGTGTACCTGCACCTTTAAACAAAAAATCTAGAGTAGTACCTACAGAGACAAATAGGGAGAAAAAGGAGAAGCAGAAAAGGCCACACAAGGAGGTGACTACAGTGCCGAAGAAAACACCCAGTAAAAGGTGAGAGGTAATGAAGTGTAGTTATTTGTGTGCAATAGAAAAGCTTCATCTCAACACTTCAATTTCTTAAAAAAGAAAAGGAGTACTTGTGGCACCTTAGAGACTAACCAATTTATTTGAGCATGAGCTTTCGTGAGCTACAGCTCACTTCATCAGATGTATACATCTGATGAAGTGAGCTGTAGCTCACGAAAGCTCATGCTCAAATAAATTGGTTAGTCTCTAAGGTGCCACAAGTACTCCTTTTCTTTTTGCGAATACAGACTAACACGGCTGTTCCTCTGAAACCTGTCATTATTCAATTTCTTAGTTTTCCTAGAGTTTTACACTTTTCCAGAGTGTAGTTTAAATAACTACAAATAAAGTTCTAACATATTAGTCTGAGATTTATTATCAAATTCTTTTGCCCATTAATGGGTGAAGGATAATCTAATAATGTCTAATGACAGGAGTGCCTGCACCTCAATTCTTCAATCGTTTATGACTCGGTGGACCTTTTTGATGACGTGAAGCAATGTGGATTTCAACAGGGCTCTACACTGGTGCAGAGATCTGCCTACATAGGTCCAATGCAGGTTTGGGGCCTAAATTAGGTAAATTTGTGGCTAATCTAATCTAGGTAGTTCTAGGGAACCCATCAGTATAGCACATGAAAACACTGTATGGTCCATAGGCTTAGTATACAAAACGGAACAGGAGACACTTGACATGGTTTTAATCAGGCCGCAATTTCATTATTAGATGCCTGGGACTACCTGGCAGATAAAAGTGTACAGTGCAGGTAGCTCCATGTTCATTCAATATCTACTGGGGGGCTTCCGTCAGCCCCCACTTTTTCCATCCAGGTCCCCTAGACAACCCATTGCTAGGAATTTATCATCCTCCCTCCCCACCAACTCCGAACGAGGGTTAAGGTGGGCTATAGGAAAAGGGGGTTTGCTCCCTGCCGTACCAGTCATAGGAGCCCCAAACACCCCTCATCACCCATTCTGCTCCTTCATAGAATCATAGAATATCAGGGTTGGAAGGGACCTCAGGAGGTCATCTAGTCCAACCCCCTGCTCAAAAGCAGGACCCATCCCCAATTAAATCATCCCAGCCAGGGCTTTGTTAAGCCTGACCTTAAAAACTTCTAAGGAAGGAGATTCCACCACCTCCCTAGGCAACGCATTCCAGTGTTTCACACCCTCCTAGTGAAAAAGTTTTTCCTAATATCCAACGTAAATCTCCCCCACTGCAACTTGAGACCATTACTCCTTGTCCTGTCTTCTTCCACCACTGAGAATAGTCTAGAACCATCCTCTCTGGAAATACCTCTCAGGTAGTTGAAAGCAGCTATCAAATCCCCCCTCATTCTTCTCTTCCACAGACTAACCAATCCCAGTTCCCTCAGCCTCTCCTCATAACTCATGTGTTCCAGACCCCTAATCATTTTTGTTGCCCTTCGCTGGACTCTCTCCAATTTATCCACATCCTTGTAGTGTGGGGCCCAAAACTGGACACAGTACTCCAGATGAGGCCTCACCAATGTCGAATAGAGGGGGACGATCACGTCCCTCAATCTGCTCGCTATGCCCCTACTTATACATCCCAAAATGCCATTGGCCTTCTTGGCAACAAGGGCACACTGCTGACTCATATCCAGCTTCTCGTCCACTGTCACCCCTAGGTCCTTTTCCGCAGAACTGCTGCCTAGCCATTCGGTCCCTAGTCTGTAGCTGTGCATTGGGTTCTTCCGTCCTAAGTGCAGGACCCTGCACTTATCCTTATTGAACCTCATCAGATTTCTTTTGGCCCAATCCTCCAATTTGTCTAGGTCCCTCTGTATCCTATCCCTGCCCTCCAGCGTATCTACCACTCCTCCCAGTTTAGTATCATCCGCAAATTTGCTGAGAGTGCAATCCACACCATCCTCCAGATCATTTATGAAGATATTGAACAAAACCGGCCCCAGGACCGACCCCTGGGGCACTCCACTTGACACCGGCTGCCAACTAGACATGGAGCCATTGATCACTACCCGTTGAGCCCGACAGTCTAGCCAACTTTCTACCCACCTTATGGTGCATTCATCCAGCCCATACTTCCTTAACTTGCTGACAAGAATACTGTGGGAGACCGTGTCAAAAGCTTTGCTAAAGTCAAGAAACAATACATCCACTGCTTTCCCTTCATCCACAGAACCAGTAATCTCATCATAGAAGGCGATTAGGTTAGTCAGGCATGACCTTCCCTTGGTGAATCCATGCTGACTGTTCCTGATCACTTTCCTCTCATGTAAGTGCTTCAGGATTGATTCTTTGAGGACCTGCTCCAGGATTTTTCCAGGGACTGAAGTGAGGCTGACTGGCCTGTAGTTCCCAGGATCCTCCTTCTTCCCTTTTTTAAAGATTGGCACAACATTAGCCTTTTTCCAGTCTTCCGGGACTTCCCCTGTTCGCCACGAGTTTTCAAAGATAATGGCCAATGGCTCTGCAATCACAGCCGCCAGTTCCTTTAGCACTCTCGGATGCAACTCATCCGGCCCCATGGACTTGTGCACGTCCAGTTTTTCTAAATAGTCCCTAACCACCTCTTTCTCCACAGAGGGCTGGCCATCTATTCCCCATATTGTGATGCCCAGCACAGCAGTCTGGGAGCTGACCTTGTTCGTGAAGACAGAGGCAAAAAAAGCATTGAGTACATTAGCTTTTTCCACATCCTCCGTTACTAGGTTGCCTCCCTCATTCATTAAGGGGCCCACACTTTCCTTGGCTTTCTTCTTGTTGCCAACATACCTGAAGAAACCCTTCTTGTTACTCTTAACATCTCTCGCTAGCTGCAGCTCCAGGTGCGATTTGGCCCTCCTAATTTCATTCCTACATGCCCGAGCAATATTTTTATAGTCTTCCCTGGTCATATGTCCAACCTTACACTTCTTGTAAGCTTCTTTTTTATGCTTAAGATCCGCTAGGATTTCACTGTTAAGCCAAGCTGGTCGCCTGCCATATTTACTATTCTTTCGACACATCGGGATGGTTTGTCCCTGTAACCTCAACAGGGATTCCTTGAAATACAGCCAGCTCTCCTGGACTCCTTTCCCCTTCATGTTAGTCCCCCAGGGGATCCTACCCATCCGTTCCCTGAGGGAGTCGAAGTCTGCTTTCCTGAAGTCCAGGGTCCGTATCCTGCTGCTTACCTTTCTTCCCTGTGTCAGGATCCTGAACTCAACCAACTCATGGTCACTGCCTCCCAGATTCCCATCCACTTTTGCTTCCCCTACTAATTCTTCCCGGTTTGTGAGCAGCAGGTCAAGAAAAGCTCCCCCCCTAGTTGGCTCCTCTAGCACTTGCACCAGGAAATTGTCCCCTACGCTTTCCAAAAACTTCCTGGATTGTCTATGCACCGCTGTATTGCTCTCCCAGCAGATATCAGGAAAATTAAACCAACAGCTCCTTTTTAAGTCCTTTACCAAGCCATTTGTCTGCCACTCTATCCCTTCCCTGTGGAGTACCTGTGCTCGACATCTGCCCCACATTTACATAATGAGTTGTGACATAATAGTCTAACACCTTTCCCTCCTCACAATAACAAAACCCTCCCTGAACTTGCTGTGGGAGAAGGTGAAAAACCCCCACTCCACCTAGGGTAATCTGGTCGTGAAGGGAAGGCAAAAACAAAAAAAATCCCCACTCCACCTAGGCCAATTGGGTGGTGAGGGAAAAATTCCTTTCCAGTCCTGCCCACAGCAGGTTCTGACCAAACCTGGTATTTTGCCACCTCGAGGGAGGGAGGGCAGGTGCTGCTCCACCTAGTCCAGGGAAAAGTGGCTTTCTCTGCCGGGCTTTTCCCTTTTGAATTCCCCGGCCCTTCCAATCCCTGGGGATGAATCAGTGTGGCCTCGCTGGCTCACTCCCCCTTTTGCAGCAGCTTCTCAGCCTCACCCCACTCCACCCCCCAGTGCTATTCCCTCTCCCCGGCAAGCGCCTCCCCCCACTTAAAGGTGCAGTGCAGTGAAAGGTTCAAACAAGTGAACTTAGGGCTTCAACAAAAGTTCAGCTCATATTTGACAGAAATTCAGAAGTAGATCTTAAAAGTCAAATAAAACTTAATTATCCTTATTTTAAACAACTTTTTTGGTAGAAAATATTTTATGTGGAATTCCATGCCAGTGGGATATTTTCTACAAATGAAATAGATTTTTCCAGTCTGTTACTGATCATTAATCAATGTATGTACAACACTTTGAAGACATAAAGCATTCTATATTGGTAAGTGTGACGTACTTCTGTTCTATCATCTGAATTTTACAAACCTCTGCTCATTTGGTATGCAGTAAATTACAGATTATGTATTGTAACATTTTTTTATTATTTCCTGCATAGATGCTGATTTATAATTACATTAATGAGTAGCTGCTCAGAAGTAGCTTTGCATCGCTTCAGTTCGCGAAAATAATATTCACCAGATTTATTGGAAAAAAATTCCTAGAACGTTTTTTACTTGTTTCAGGATAGCCTTAGATGACAAGCTTTACCAGAGAGATTTAGAAGTTGCGTTAGCCTTGTCAGTGAAAGAACCATCTGGAGACATCCTTGAAACGCAAGATTCACAAGAACAAGGTTATCTTTACAATTAAAATGCATTTCAACTTTTCCCATTTTAAACTATTCCTTGATTGTATTCAGCATCCTTTGTAGTTGCTTTATAACCGTGCTGGTATTGTATCCTTTCTTTTAATTGATTAATTGAGAAGACTCGAACATTTCTTTTTATTCGTTGATGGGATGAGGTTTATCATACGAAATTGTGCTAATGCTAAGTAGTGCTGTGCAATTTTGAAGAAACCTACTGTAATGACTTGTGTATAATGTAGATTAAGCTTCAGTCTTTGACTATCCTAAATATAAAGCTCTTGGGTTGATTAAACTTTCCAAGAACAATATTAACTTTCTCTCATAGGGATCTGATGCAACTCACCATTGATGTCAGTGGAAAAATTTCCATTAACTTCAATGAGAATTGAACTGGGCCCATGCGGATGACTTCAACCATTTCAGTCGCGTAGTCCTCAAAATCTACAGATTTAGACTTTGGAAGAATGTGGGGCAGAAGTTGTTTTAATGGTGCATGTATATTGCTGAGTACACTGTCCATGCCTAACAAAAGATGGTAATCTTTGCAAGCAGATGTATTAGAGACTTAATTTTACAATTGCAAATTTAGTCTTTGGAGTGTACAGTAAAATCTGTATCAATACTCAAAATTTGTGGATTTTCCACAATAATAGCTTCTTTTTGTCCCAGCTTTTACTGGAATGTAGATCTGTAATTACAGAGAAATATTACTAAACATTAAATGCATTTGCTTGGCTTCCAAAATGTGTGGAGGGAGAATAACATAGTTAAAATGGAAAAAAAAAAGTGTGAGAAAAGTGTTTCAAGTGCATTTATGCTCCATATTAACATCTTCCTCTTAACACTGTACTATACTGTCTACACCTTGTTTCCTTATAGTGAAATGGATATAATGCAATTCAATTTATTATAAAGAACAAAGAAAATCACAAATTATTTCAGCCCATCACAGTGTGGCAACTGTAATTCTGGTCAAAGTTAATATATTACATTGCAGCTTTTCCGTGACAAAAAATAATATCATTATCTACTAAAAATAATTTTATCTGGAATCTGCTAGAGTTTAACTTGTTTGGGGTAAATTATTTTCATTTTTTGATATCCTGAGTCTTTATAGGGCAAATTTTCAAACATATTTTATGCATTTTTTTAAATATAGGCATTAAAAAATGTGAAGCTATTGAATTAGAAAATGTAGACAGCAGTTCCATCCTCTCCAACTGCAGTGCAGATAGTGGTCTCTTAGGTAAGTTATTTTTGTGTCTGTCTGTATATGTAAACATATGTGTAAGCAGTGTTCCTGAAACATTTCTTTTTAGGGAAGTGAGGGCAAAAACTATTGGAGAAAAAAGAATAAAAGTGATTTTTATTGCGTAAATATGCTTTGGTCTGAAAGATATATTCAATCTGTTTAGATCTAAATTTGGCTCCTGTCTTAAAATTGGTAGGAATTGAGTTCAGATTTCCAAATAATCTTTTTAAACCATCAATTTATCATCAAAAAGTGAAAACTGAACAAAATCACATGCATGCATGTGCACACACAAATATTTTAAGGCACTGCTTATCTCCTTGGAAGATCTAAGTACTCTCAACTACTTGAGTCTTCACTCTTAACACCTTGATTCCAGAATAGCATTGGCAACTTTTACCTGCAAAAAGGACTCAGAGCAGTTTTTAAAAAGATAAAATAAAATGAGAATTACAGACATTTGAAGAAGCTCAGATACTGTGCACTTGGATAAAGATCTCCAGAAATACTCAGAATCGGTACTGGAAACTAAGGTTCCAGTCCAGCAAAACACTTAGTACTTACTATTAATCATGCAACCAGTTCCTTTATTAACTAGTGTTAATAAGACCACTGTTTATCTTGCAGGCCCCGATCAGGTCACAGATGACAATGACATCCCCACAGGTGGTTATAGGCAAAGAAGAGCAGCATCTAAAGCTGTGTCACAGCAGAAGTTACTGACAGATGACAGTGATGAGGGAGACCATGCTGATAACTATGAGCCAGACTTTGTGTCTGGTAAGTTTTCTACTATTACATTTTTCCTATTGGGTATGTTTTGAATATGTCTAATTATCCTGAGAGAAGAATATTTTCAGGAAAATGTTTACTGTTTTCAGCCTTATATACCTCTGTTCCTCGTTGAAATACTACAATTTGTTATTAGTTATGTGTCCTGAATGCATTTCAAGAGACCGAAGCTAAAGGCTAGGTTTTTGACCTGGTCAGTTGAGCTTATTATTCCTTATTCGACCTTCAGCCTAGGACTCCAAACATGGTTTCCTTTTGTTCAGAATGTGCTTAGAAAACCAGGTGGCAACAATAAATTGCACTCCTACTAAAGAGATGTCAAACCTCATATATTTTTTTCTTCTGTTTTTAGATGAGGAATCAGAGGGTGGTTCAGATTTCAGTGAGGAAGATGATGAAGATTTTGCTGCAAAAAAGAAGAAAACTAAAGAAAATAAAAGGAAAGAAATTAAGTTAAAGGTCCAAACAGAAAAAGAAAAGAAACTCTCCAAATCCAGAATTAATGCTACACGTAAGCTTGATGTAATCACCAAAAAATACAGGACTTGTTTAGACAGACAGTTAGTGAATATGAACTGGGGGGTGAATCTACAACATGCAGTTGTGCCGCATGCTAACTGTCCCTCTGAACCCTGCTACCATGTACTAAAAGTTCCCTAGCGCACACTGACCTGTTTACATTTCAAAGCAGAGTCATTTTCAAAAAGTGAGTGAAAAGAAGTTTCAGGTACTCTCCCTGTACTTCAGTCAACCTGCTGATTTTTGTGGTTTTACAATCATTTTTTCCTAATTTAAAAAAAAAAGTCTGTCCTGTATTGTGTGAAATACTTAGAGAAATAGGGGAAATTGACTGACGCACTAACTATCTGGGATAATAATGAAACTGTACACAAACTGCTGTCAAATGGACAACATAAAAAATGAGAAATAATTAGGGCTATCAAGCAATTAAAGAAATTAATCACGATTAATCATGCTGTTAAACAATAATAGAATACCATTTATTTAAATATTTTTGGATGTTTTCCATATTTTCAAATATATTGATTTCAATTTCAACATAGAATACAAAGTGTACAGTGCTCACTTTATATTTATTTTTTATTATAAATATTTGCACTGTAAAAATAAAAAATAGTATTTTTCAGTTCACCTCATACAAGTACTGTAGTACAATCTCTTTATCAAGAAAGTTGAACTTACAAATGTAGAAGTATGCACAAAAAAAAACTGCATTCAAAAATACAACAATGTCAAACTATAGAGCCTACAAGTCCACTCAGTCCTACTTCTTGTTCAGCCAATTGCCCAGACAAACAAGTTTGTTTACATGTGCAGGAGACAATGCTGCCCGCTTCTTGTTTACAATGTCACTTGAAAGTGAGAACAGGTGTTCGCATGGCACTATTGTAGCTGGCATTGCAAGATATTTACATGCCAGATGCACTAAAGATTCATATGTCCCTTCATGCTTCAACCACCATTCCCAAGGACATATCCGTGCTGATGATGGGCTCTGCTCAATAGCAATCCAAAGTAGTGCAGACCAACGCATGTTCATTTTCATCATCTGAGTCAGATGCCACCAGCAGAAGGTTGATTTTCTTTTTTAATGGTTCGGGTTCTGTAGTTTCTGCATTGGAGTGTTGCTCTTTTAAGACTTCTGGAAGCATGCTCCACACCTCGTTCCTCTCAGATTTTGGAAGGCACTTCAGATTCTTAAACCTTGGGTCGAGTGCTGTAGCTATCTTTAGAAATCTCACATTAGTACCTTCTTTGCATTTTTTCAAATCTGTATTGAAAGTATTCTTAAAATGAACAACATGCTGGGTCATCATCTGAGACTGCCATAACATGAAATATATGGCAGTATGCGGGTAAAACACAGAGCAGGAGACATACAATTCTCCGCCAGGAGTTCACAAATTTAATTAACACATTAGTTTTTTAGCGAGCGTCATCAGCATGGAAGGATGTCCTCCAGAATGGTGGCCAAAGCATGCAGGAGCATATGAACGTTTAGCATATGTACCATGTAAATATCTTGGAATGCCAGCTACAAAAGTGCCATGCGAATGCCTATTCTTATTTACAATGTCACCTGAAAGTGAGAAGCTGGCAGCATTATCTCACATAAATGTTTGTTTGTCGTAGCAATTGGCTGAAGAAGAGGTAGGACTGAGTGGACTTGTAGAGTCTAAAGTTTGACATTGTTTTATTTTTGAGTGCAGTTATGTAAAAATAAATCTACATTTTTAAGTCGCACTTTCATGATAAAGAGATTGTACTATAGTACTTGTATGAAGTTAATTGAAAAATACTATTTATCATTTTTACATTGCAGATATTTGTAATATAATAATATAAAGTGAGCACTGTACACTTTGTCTTCTGTAGAAAGAACGAGGAGTACTTGTGGCACCTTAGAAACTAACAAATTTATTTGAGCATAAGCTTTCGTGGGCTAAAGACCACTTCATCTGAAACCTGTCACCATGCAAGGCTTTGTATTCTGTGTTGTAATTGAAATCAATATATTTGAAAATGTAGAAAAACATCCACAATATTTAATAAATTTCAATTGGTATTGTTTATCAGTGCCATTAAAACTATGAATAATTTTTGTGAGTTAATCTTGTGAGTTAACGGTGATTAGTCAACAGCCCTAGAAATAATTATTTAATCTTTCAATTAGAGTAATTTTGAGTTTTAGGTGTAACGAGTAAAATAAAAATGAACAGACAGAAGGATGATTTATTTTTTTTCAATTGACTGTGTCCCATTAAAAAACAACAACAAGCAAATAAACATAACAATGATTCATTTAGGTTTTCCACATTATTTTACTTTTAGGTCCTTATCATATGATCACATCTGGCTGGGTGGATCCCTGCACCCACATGGATTGCTTACAGGGAATCAAGGCCTTTAATGATCTTCAGTGTTTATTAATAGCATAGTTAAAGATATTTATTTACCACACTTGAGTTACAGGGTCACTGTGTCTCTTTAACACAATTTGTATCAGCACAACAACCTTTTAAAAAACTATTTCTTACATGTGTGTTAAATAACTATGCATCAGACCTGCTGGTGTGATTTAGTTTCAAACAATGTGTAAGCTAAATCATATACTACAGAACCATTTTAGTTGTGGTGCGGAAATGTTTTTTCTTGTAGAGTTTATGGCAGAGTTTATGTTAGCTTGTCCCTTCATGCAGTTCTACAATACGTCCCATGCCAGTAACAAGATAAGTGCTTACTTCCAAACCAGGAAATAAGTATGAGGCTATAACGTGTTCAAATCAATGTACTTGCATTGATTGGAAGGCGGGATTCTTAAGACATATCCACCTGTATTTCTTTGAATTGAATGGTCCTCACTTGCACAGTAATTTTGTGCAGTGTGATTTCTTTAATAAAGAGCAATTTTTCTAAAGCTTTTTTTGTTTTCCTGCTAAAGTGGTTCCATTAGTTTCTTCTCCACGGATAATCCAAGCAAAATCTCAGTCAACAGTGAAGAAGACATCAAGTTCTCCAGAACCTATTGGAAAACCTTTATACACATCAAGTCCCTCAACAGACAAGAAGAAGCCCAAATGGATACCACCAGGTATATGTAATATGGTAACTGCAGACAAATATACCTATTTACATGTGTTTAAAAAGATGTTCTCTAAAGTATTTGTATTTCTGAACAAGCACCTCCTCATCAAAGTATGAGCTACCCCACTCACCTGTGTCCTAGAGTCAATTGTCCCACACAAAATTATCCTGTCCACTTCCCAGGTGCCTCAGTATCCTTTCTCTTGATAGGACAAGGGTGCTAAAGCTTTTTCCCAGTAGCGTGGCACAAATCTCAATATAGGGATTGTCTTGTGGACATTTCCTCTTTTAAGAGGTGTCCAGCATCCCTGTGGCAATGCACTATTTGCTTCCTTACACCAATACTTGCGTACTATTATTTTTGTATTTGTAGTTGCCTTTAGTATGATAAGTGTTTGGTCTTTTTTCAAAAAGTTAGATCACACTGCTGCTCCCTCTTGCTTTTTCACCTTTCTCATCTATTGTCTTCTTCTGCATGTGGATCCTTTCTGCTTGGTCCTCTTTCCTTGCACATGTCTACATACTCTCAAGTCCTCATTTCCTACTACACATGCTGCCAAATGCCTAGTTCCATGCTCCTCTGGCTATTCATCCTCCACTTATACCTCCTGCCCCTACCAGTGGCTCAGAGTGGTAGCTCACAGTTTCAGCAGAGCAGACTCAGTGGGGGGAGACTCATAGTTTCTCTTCTCCTATGTAGCAGCAGCCTCTAATGTTAGGCTAGAGGGCTACGTGCTCTTTGTTCTCTGCTGTTTTTTCATGTACCCTGCCTCTTCATGGCAATAAAAACAGGATATTTGTAAAAGCAGTTGATAAAAAGGTGAAGGAATATAGTACCCTGAGACCTGCTAATGTTCTGCAGAGCTCCAGCAAGTGTACGGCAGTCCAGATTTTGAGAAATGCTGTATTATGGTAGCAGAGTGAAATGTGTTGGTGTCACCCTGAAGTTACATGTAGGGGGAGCCTTAAAAGTCTCCTGCAGATTTTGTCCCCTTCTGCTGTAACTGTCAAATATGTTTCCACTGGCAGTGTACCTGATTTTTATGTGCTTTCCTGCAATATTGTTCAGGCCTCTCTGCAATTTCTAGAAGAGTATACTTATTAGCTCTTTTTTGTAAGTTAGTGACAATGATTTTTCTGTTAATTTGTGACACTTGTTTTGTTTTAAAACGCTTTCAGCTGCCTCAGGATGCAGTAGTAACCCACTGGGAGGAATTTCAGTTAAATCACCTACTCAAGGTCTCAGACTTGGCTTGTCCAGATTAGCACGAGTGAAACCACTGCACCCAACTGCCGCCAGCAGTTGAATGATCTATGAAAGTGTCTCTCACTTGAAGGATTACTGTTTAGAAAGAAGCTGAGTGTTCGGTGGGGTTCTTTTGTTTTTAAACAGGGTTGAAAACAAATGAGCAGTAAACTATTCATTAAACTGTTCATTCAGAGGGAGGAAATTCTGTCAATGTTGCTTGTCTGTTATTAAGAAAGGGCCTTCATCCCTCAAGGTGCAGTGTACCACCAGTGAAGTGCTGAGCACCTTTGGCTGCTGAATAATATTACTTAATCAAGGAGACCTCAGGTTGCTCAGCACCTTTGATGGATCAGGCCCAAATAAATTGATTGTGTATTTGAGATTGTACCCTTATGATGTCTATCCTCTTTTGAAAAAAAAAGGGGGGGGGGGATTACATTTTTAAATTGCATAAAAACAATCTAAAAAGTAGTGTATCAATTATGGATCTAAAAATATAGAATGGATTCATAATGTAACCTTAAAGTTGCAGTTTTGAATTCCCAGTTTTTAGTATTCATTCTGTTCATAGTCCAATTAAAGAATCCCTTTAGTAAAGTGAAATCATTGTTCCTCCCAGTCCAGAAAAGTTGATTCTCAAATCTTTGTTAAAACTTACTGATATTTGTATTCGTGTGGATTTTATTTCTAAGAATGTATAATGTGCTGCTTAGAAAACTGTATTTTTAAAAAAAGTAAAATAAAATATACTTTATAAACAGCTAGTTTGTAATAGTAACTGACTTTATGCATTTTGAAAATTTCTTACAAACTTTGGCCTCAGCCCTGCAAATATGTAAGCATTACCTTATGCATGTGATTATCCCCTTGAAGTCAGTGGAACTAGTTATGAGACAAATCCAAAACCCATTGAAGTTAAGCATATGCTTAAATGTTTGCAAAATCAAGGGTTTTATGATTATGAAAATCTATTTATTGTGCAATAAATAAAGTTTTGGAATGGTAGTTACTGAAGCACCAGGACCTGACCTTAATTTAGAAATGGTGAGTCCATGGACCAAAGTCAGTTCTTGTTTAAGAAGGCACACTGCCACAAAAGTCAGTTGTGCCAGTTTACACAAGGGATGAATTTGACCTCGTAACAATTCAAAGGACTGGGTAATGAATCAGTGAAGCATTTGCAAATAGATGATAGTTTTTAACTTCTTAATTCCCTTCAGTATGGGATATGGGGGAAAGGCATTAAAGGGATAAATAGCCCAGTTGTTCAGAATAATATTTGAATAATATAATTTTGTGAACTATGATGCTGTTTGAAGTAAAATATAACTTAATTGTATAAAGGACTAATTACAGTTATACTTTTTCAGTTCAAATGTGATTATAAAAATAAAACAAGATACTAAAAGATTATTTATTGTGGATTTAAGAAACCGAGGAGGTTTATTGTTTCCTGGGAATGACTAAGAGGAATTCTTGATTCTAAGTAATGGATTAAATTTTTTAGACAAGTCACCTGACCTCTGTGTGCCTCAATCGTCCCAGTGGCAACGTTAGGTAAAAGCTGGAACCTCAGTGAAAGATAAATAATTCCTTTCAGTAGTTATGCAATTTATTTGAGCTCTAAATCCGTTCACAACAGATATTCACTACGTGCTGTGATTTGGTTTCTGTCATAAATACCAGTAATTGTATAGTTTGGTTTTTAGCATTAATACCAATGCTTTTTATGAACAAAAAAAGCAAAGGGGGTGACGGTATAAATGAAGAACACAGTATTTCGCTCCGTTTGCTATAGTTTGACAACCCTGTCAAAATTATTTAAAACAGAACAAAAGAACCTCTGATCACTGACCCTAATCCTAACAGAGAGACACGGTGGGGTGAGGTAATATCTTTTATTGACCCAACTTCAGTTGGTAAGAGAGACAAGCTTTCAAGCTTACACAGACCTGAAGAAGAGCTCTGTATAAGCTTGAAAGCGTGTCTCTCTCACGAAGAGAAGTTGGTCCAATAAAAGATATTACCTCACTCACTTTGTCTCTCTAATGTCCTGGGACTGACACAGCTCAAAGATTGAAGTCCAGGACCTCCATTCTCTGAAATGCTTAACATTCTCTGAAATGCTTCCAGTTCCATGCATAGGGCCAGTTAGGCAGAGCTGGACGGTCTCCGTGCATGAATAAGACAATGGTATAGGGAGGAGGGCTTTGGGTTATTAGGAACTGAGGAACCTTATGGGAAAGGAGGAGCCTATACAGGAAGGATGGGCTCCACCTAAACCAAAATGAAACTAGATTGCTGGCACATAAAATTAAAAAGTTTGTAGATGAGCTTTTAAATTAAGGGCTGGGGGAAAGCCAACAGTTGTGGACGAGCATATGGTTCAGACAGATACATCCCTTATGGGAAGATCTATTAACGAGGATTCTCTATGTCCTAGTAAAGATGAGAGGATAGAAGTTGATCAAGTACAGGTGGGAACTGAAAAGAAACAGTCAAACGAAAAAGAATCCCATTCAATTACATCACAATGGCAGACAGCTAAAAAGTGACAAATTTTATAAGTGCTTGTATACGGATGCTAGAATTCTAAATAATAAAATGGGTGAACTTGAGTGCCTGGTATTAAATGAGGATACAGACGTTCCCCGGGTTACACAAGACCCGACTTACGCAAATCCGCACTTACGGAAAAGGTTCTGTAAGATAGAAATAGGGTTTTTTAATTTGTTTTTTTGCGTAATGGTCAGGTATACGTTTCCGACTTACGCAAAATGCGAGTTGCGCAAGGCATTCCGGAATGGAACACTTGCGTAAGTCGGGAAGTGTCTGTATTGATATAATAGACATCACAGAAACTTGGTGGAATGATGATAATCAATGGTACACGGTAATACTAGGGTACAAAATATATAGGATTGACAGAGTAAGACATGCTTGTTGGGGAGTGGCTCTATATATGAAAGAAAGCGTATAAAGTCAAATATAGTAAAAGTCTTAAATGAATCAAACTGTATAACTGAATCTCTAGGGATAGAAATTCCATGCTTGATTAATAAGAATATATCAGTAGGAATATACTACTGGCCACCTGAGCAGCATGACGATGGTTGATAGTGAAATGCTCCAAGAGATTAGAGAGACTGTATAGAACTGCATGCCATACCCTCCCCAAACTCCCCCCCTGTCTCCCACCCCATATTCCTTGCATATTTCGAGCCCGTCACAGTACCCCTTTCTCTCCATCTCTTCAAACAGGTTGCCTAATGACAGCTGGACCTACACACAGCTATGAGAGTGTCCATTAAGAGAGTGCTCCTCAGTGTCATTTCCCTTGCAGGACACCGAATTCTGTGTATTGGTTATTGCTGTTTAATAAAAATGTACTCATAGAAAGAAAGTGAATCTTTTTCTCCTACACACAGTGGTTGGTGCTGGAATTCATACACAGAGGCAATTGGCATATTTGCAGGCTACAAATCCTGCTCAAGAAGCAGTCATTACAAGGGTCATTCCAGGCGGCAAGTAAATAAAGCCTTGCTGAATGCATTACAAAAAAACATTAGTGGGGCTCATTGTCAAAATGCTACTTCAAAGCATCCCTGATTCAAATAGCCCCCCATTGAGTCCCTCTAATATCCTAGTATCTGGCTACTCAAAGTCAGCCGCCAGGTGAGCCGTCTCAACTCTCCACCCCTTGGGGGAAATTTTCCTCCTTAGCTTCACAAATGTTATGCAGAGCACAGCAGGCTGCTATGACCATGGGAATATTTTCCTCATTGAGGTCTAACCTGCCAAAAAAGCAGCGCCAGTGCACCTTTAATCTGCCAAAGGCACATTCAGTGGTCATTCTGCACAAGCTGAGCCTTTTGTTGAAGCGCTCCTTGCTGCTATCAAGGTTTCTGGTATAAGACTTCTTAAACCATGGGAATAAGAGGTAGGCTGGATCTCCCAGGATCACTACAGGCATTTCACCATCCCCATTTGAATCTTCTGGTCTGTAAAGAAAGTTCCCGCTTGCAGCTTGTTTAACATGCCAGTATTCCTGAAGATGCATGCATCGTGTACCGTCCTTGACCACCCCACGTTGATATCAGTGAAACGACCCCAGTGATCCACCAGTGCCTGCAATACCATAGAGAAGTAGCCCTTTCTACTGATGAACTCTGTCACAAGATGGTCTGGGGCCAGAATTTGGATATGCGTGCCATCTGTCACCATGCCGCAGTTAGAGAATCCCATTGCCACAAACCCATTCACTCTTTCACACACATTTCCCAGAGTCAGTCCTTCTTGGCAGGATGTGATTAATGGCCCTGCATGCTTGCGTGAATGCAACCCCCACAGTGGCCTTCCCAACTCCAAATTGATTCATGACTAACGGGGAGCAGTCTGGAGTTGCCAGCTTCCACACAGTGATCCCCGCATGCTTCTCCCACAAGAGGGTAGCTCTTATTTTGGTGTACTTGTGCTGCAGGGCAGGGGTGAGCGCCGCCCACAGTTCCAGGAAGGTGGCTTTGGGCATCCAAAAGTTCTGCTACCACTGCTCGCCATTCCAGACCTGCATAATGATGCAATCCCATCACTCAGTGCTTGTTTCCCGAGCCCAATAGTGATGGTCCACCATGTGCAGCTGCTCCATGAATGCCAAAAGTAATCTGGATTTGTGTCTTTCCATGGCACACAGCAGGGCAGGCACCACGGATTCCTGTTCAGATTTGCAGATCATGAAATACTGCATGATCAGCGGTGTTGTGTTCGTAACACTTATCACAAGACTAGAGAGCAGTGCAGGATCCATGTTTTCAGGCAAAGATGGCAGACACACAGTTTACAGGGGCCGTTGAAAAATGGCATGAAGTGTAGTTGGAATGATGGAACAGAAAAAACTGCATCATGGGATGGTGAGCCTTCACCCATGACGTACTGCAATCCATTTCCCATTCCCACAACTCCTAGCAGCTTCCACGCACGTGAAGGTGGCTAGCTGTACAGTGGGATAGCTACCCACAGTGCACTGCTCTCTCCCTCGATACTAGAGCACCATCTGTGGACATGCTCTGGGGACACAAGGAGCGTTGTGTGAACATGCACAGGCAATGTGATTATAGCGGTTTATGATCGACAGCGTAACTTGTGTCGACTTAATTTTGTAGCGTACACATAGCCATAGTCTCTGTCCTTGAGAGGTGTATAGACAATATTTCTGGCTAGATGTGTCAGGGCTGCCGCACGCTCCACTTGAAGAAGACAGAAGTCTCGCTAGTATGTTTGGTTGGTAGGGTCATTGCTATGAAGGGTTTTGCTTCCTTTCTGCCCCAACTTATAAAGGGACACAGAAGGAGCCAAAAAAGACTGGATAATGCATAAAATGGAGACCCTAACCATTTGAAATCCCATTGTCTTTTGTCAAGCATAGGTTGATTGTATTATCCTGGCCATTTTCCATCTCAGGAAATTACTTTCTATGTAAATACCACCTCCAATTTCAGCCATATATAATGTTCTTCTTCCCTTTCTGCTCTGAATTCTTTCGTAGTGTTGCTGTGCACTGTTAAACTTTTTCTGTGTTTCACTCCACTGGCTGGCTGTTCATTAGTGAGACAGTAAGTAGTCTATGTATGCATTTTGATTTTAGTTTGTAAGGCACTTGGCGATCCTTCAGAAAGAAAGGTGCTTTGTGAATATAAGGTGGAGCAGCATTAAATAACATAGTAGTAAACCTGGCCAGTGCCTTATCTACACTAGTGCTCTTCC